TCTTCCCGTCTGAGAGAAGGTTCCACAGCTGAGGACGTGATTCGATCTACCGGTTCACTGTATTATTAAATAGTTACAAGTCCCAGCCACATTCGAACATCGATGTGATTAGGTAGACTGAAACATCAAATCTGTAAGACCCATCAAATCTCAGACATTAGGTACAGTAGTACCAACACTTTAGGTAATGGAAGTTTACTTATGCTAACTAAAATCAGCTACAAAATACGTAACTACGTTCAAAAGTATTCTAATCCTTTGGTAAAGGAAACTTGTTAAAAATATATTATTTTTCATCAATCAAGCGACTATTTTGACCTTTTAGAGTTCGGTTTGACTATCAAAAGTTTAATTTCGTGAGGTATTATTGGGTTTTTGGTTGTACAAATTTAATTTTTTATAGAGATTGATTTTGTCTTCCACCAATGACAGAGAGATTGGACCCTTAGTGGAGATTCTTGTCCAAATAAAACCGAGTCGAGAAAAGATTTCCGCTCGGAAAACCTTTCAACTTTCCATTTCCTAGCTAAACACAACTTATTGATACGGCTTTGAAGATTGAGGAAATCGTTTTTCAGTTGGAAGATTCCTGTCTGTACGTCGTCACATTTTTATAAAGTAATTTTCCTTACATTTTGTGGCTTATCAGTAAGAGAATTTACTTTAATTTTAACGCCACTAATGCCAGTAAGGTTGGCATACAGCTGATTTATATTCTTTATTAAGATATTTTTTTAGTCTAGTCTCAATAAGCCATAAGGGTTCAGCAAGCTCTTGTTTCGCTATCCTTTGGACATGTATCCAATATATCATTAAAGTGATACAGCTAAATTTGTGATTATTATTTAAGGTCATAAACCAGATAAAATTATAGGCATATATGACACATCAAAATGAATCAGATGGTGTTAAAACCTTTCAGGGCTAAATGAAATGAAGGACTGGAGCTGTTTTGTGTTAAGTGGCTATGTATTGTATTTGGGTTATAAAAGTATTTTGCCTTAGCACTGAACTCATTTTTGTACAAAGGTCTTGTAGGGAATAAAGTTTGAGTTGACGGATATATCCGTCTGCCGATCTAAGCGATAATCACAAAATATAATCACTGCCAATAATCTTGAGTACTATTGTGAGCGTCAGACTGGTATAGTCAACCTAAGGCTACTCCATCCCTTTTTGATTTTTTATCCATAAAATGTGTCTATTATTCTAAAGTAAATGTAAGCCACTCAGTTCCGCTCCCATCTCATCATTCCCATTCCCCACCAAGACTTCCACTACGTAAAGACTGTTCTTCAGGCTCATCATATCCATCACATTCCATACAATTGAATCCCCCTAAGACACCTTTTCAACCATTGCAAACAGTTAAGTTCTCTTATCCATCTTACTAATCTGTATAAGTTAACATTGGGTTTTTGACAGAGGTTATCCTGTCAACCAATATGTAGCTCATCAACAAAAACGTTGTTTGCTTTATGTATTTTATAATATTTTATTTTCATTATGAATTACTCTGAATTGATATTTAAGCACTAACTAGGGTATTAATTGCAATTAAAAAAGGGTTTCATTAATGAACGTTCTAATTAGACACGTAAAACTAATCCTACGAATGAAGTCAATTAACTCTGTTTACACGTGATCCTGTGACACTTAATTACAACTGTTTGGTAACTGATTCGGGTATCATTTAAATTGTAAAATTTGTTAACTACTTTCTATCATCGTGAAGTTAAGCATGAAAATTGCTCGGTCATATTCGACGTTTCTTCCTAATTGTTACTCAGGGCTATTTTTATGGAATTATAGTTCAATAGAAACATGTACAAGAGGCAAAACCACTATTTAAAGCAAGTGGTTCCGATAATTTAAGCAATTATTCACATTTTTTAGATAATTTTACAATTTTGCGGTTTACGTACAAAGAAATGGGTTGGTTCTTTTTTCGTAATTTCGCTGACAATTATGTTTTGTTGGGCCTAGGATGGGTTGTATTAGATCAGGTTTACATGCACAGTTTTTCGAGCTTTATTCTTTTCATGCTAATATCAAAATAAATACAATTGCTTGTTGATTTCTCAAGAATCTTAAGAATCACATCAGAAATCACTAGCAACGAGAACCTTAATTTGTATTATGGAGGCGAAAGCTTTACTTTTCTCATCTTGGCCTTAATATTATTACGCAAGCTTTATCACTTGGCTAAAAACCTATATCACATGGATTTTACTACATAATACCAATGATAACACTTATTTTTTTATCTATTTTATTTTGTGTATTTTTACACCTTTGGAATTTTTTTCGCTTTTGAAAGGGAACGGTCCAAATGCTGGTCTTGTTACTATCTAACGTCGACCTTTTTGTTAGATAGCATCATTAATTCAGAGCCCAATGACAAATGGCACCTAGGTCTGGAAACGTTCCCGCTTAGATTCGAACCAACGACCTTCAGATTTGAAGGCAAGCACTATAACCTAACCAATCGGCTACCCAGACAATCAGCTTTAAAATACTATCTACATTTTAATTTATATAATCCCGTTTATCATGAATGTTATAAACTTTTAAGCCTAAGAAATCTGACGACTTCGTTCGTAATTGAAATTCTTCTCATTCTCGCTTGGCCCACGGCGTGTGACTCTTGGTAATATCTCTGAACCACTTCTTCTTTGATTAAAAAGAGCTTAAGACGTTCGAAACGTTTAATTTGCTATTATAGTTTGGAAGGATTAAGCATGTTCAGTAGCTTTTAAATGGATAAATTATTATTTAAATAAATGTTTATGCAGTTTTTTTTTTCAATCAACGATAATCTTTTTCATTCGTATCAAACTAACAATGTTAATTACATATATTTTAAGAAACTATCCAAGTATATTTAGCCATTTATTGTATGCAGTACTGCTTAATAAACTGATTAGCTTCTCGATATGTTGTGCTTTTATAGTATTCAAAATTTCATCCATAAAGCAAAGATAAGCTACATACACAAAAATAAAAATAGATGAATACTTAAATACTTAATGATTCAGTATGTTTTATGTTATGAACAAATATCCATTGTTGAAAGGATATTTAAATTGATTTTAACCTTAATTTATTTTACAGTAAAAACATTGCAATTTTTAAATTTTGCTTACATTTTCCCTGGTATTTAATATATTTATTTATTGTATACTAGAATGTGGAAGAGAAGCGTGTGGTTCATTAAATCCCTACTTGCGTATTAAATAAGTATAGATTGACAGTTAATTGAGAGAAAAATCTAGCTCAACTAATAACACATCAATTATAAAAACAAATGAAAGTAAATATGTGAATAAATCTAAGGTAAAGATTGTTTTGTTTTTTTTATTTCACGAAGGCCAGTTAATACTTTATTTACCAAAAGCTTCAACATGAAATGTTTAACATGAATGGTTCATAGACTAATGAGATTTTTAATAAATGAATAAAATTGTTGGCTGGTTCCCTGTCCCTATGAGTGTTATAATTAATTACCGTCTTGTCGAATCGAGAGTATTTTGGAATTGCTAGTAACAAAGACAAAGAGAAACTCCGCCTTATTTATATAGTAAAATACATTTGTATATTGATTTACGGACGTTGAAATGTGTATGTTCTGGTAACAGTGATGGGATAGAACATCAACTGAGCAGAACAATAAACTGCATACATATGTTACAAGGGTTATGCAACATGGGATGGAGGTATTTGAGCAGGCTATTTATACCACTCGACTATATTCCAGGATTTCAATACGGTTTTAGTACGACAGAAATTTGATATAGATACTGCAGTTAATAGTATTTACAGTATTGCAATTGTATCATTCACCCCAGTGGTATTTTTTGAGAACCATACAAATCCTGGACCTATAAATAACTTGGACCTTTCGTTAGATCGCATCAATAATTGTTAGCACAATGACAAACAGTATCTGAGAACTATCTTCAGTATGAATCTCGCTTGGAACATAACCAGTTATTCATGAGCCATTTCTTTAAACATGTTGTTAAGGGGAGACTTTACCTTTTCTGGTTCAATGCTTTTTAAATGGAGAAATGGAGTGATTTTTTTGCACACTTAATTAACACATCCATATCTTTATGTTAAACCACTTTTTAAAGAAATATATCAACATACAAATTATTTTCAACCTTTTAAAAAAATACAAATGTTATGCGATATTCTAAAAATCTAAATAAATTATTTTTTAATAACAATTTATTAATAATCAATATATGATCGGTTTGATGTAATCACCAAGTACCCAGACTAATGCATGCAAAATTGTAAGTCTCTATATATTAAAGTTTTTAAACTATGTCTACCTAAAGATAAAAAAAACTTTCGAAAAGCACACGCTTTGCAGCACACACTTAAGGCCATCAGAATAGTGTGCGCCGAAACCTCGGTAGAGTTATCTTTCTTTATTTATTGTTATCATAAGAAGCTTTATCATATATTTTCTTAATCAGGAAGAAACGTAGATTAATTTTAGATGAAAAACAAAAATTGCATTTTTTTAGACATAAAGGCTCAGTCTCCCCTTAAATGTGTTGTCACCTTGATGAAAACCGTTAGTTATTTGCGGGATGTGAACCCAAGATTTCAGCACAGAGGTTCCGCTCAACCAGCCACTTTCTACAACAAGTGCAAACCTAGGCAATTCCTAGGGCAATTTTAAAACCTTAGTAATTGGTATCTTTTCTTGGGAATGCAGAGGTAAAAAATTTAAGCCTTAATAAACTGTGTATAGAGTAAAAAAAAGCTGAAGTGTTTTACATCTTGCAAAAAACAAGATCGCCCCAGAAAAAACAGAGATAAACAGTATGTATTCAATTTGGCCCATTTTCGTTATGTTGGTGGTTTGCCTGAGTGGTGGGGAATTGTAAAGGGGAAAATGAAGGGGTTACTCCCCTTTTAGGGGAGGGACGTTTCCAAGGCTACTGGACGCCAAAACTCAGCTCCCTTAGTCTGCCCGTGATAGTTCTAGGTGACACTACATTGGGAAACCCTCAGCGACAAGGTAAGCTATTTTCATGAATTTACAACAGTAATTAATGAATAATGCAGTTGAACACATATCCATCATAATGCTTATCCAAATAGTGTGACAAATTGTTACAACGCATATAATAATTTTGGATCACCACGTCATTTGCATGTATTTCATATGCAGGATAAAATTTGTTTTCTATGTCGTTCTACATGTTACGATTGCAGACTGAAGCCGTAAATTTGGATAATCATTTATCGTTATAATTCCGATAAAGAATAAAGGATAGCTCTTGAAAGCTATTGAATTTTTTCCGTTGTAATAACCAATGGGTAACTGATATTTTTAACTAACAATTGGGTTGTAATATTTTTACAACTAATATTTAGACTACCATTAATAATTAATAAGGCTAATCCAATAGGACTAATGAATTGTTCTGCAGTTTTTCGTTAGGTTTCTAAATAATTAATAGTATTTTTACTATTTGATTGTCACAGAACGTGCTGACACATAAATTAAACAAATTATCTGTTGTATCTTGAATATTAAGTAATATATATTAATGGAAAATTAAGTAACGGGCAAGTACTTTTTAGAAGCCTTTAGTTAAAACTCTTAGTGACATAATTCTGACCTCTTCAAATTTAAAAGTGTTGTAAAAATGCTTTACAAATTTATTGCGAAATAAACCTTACTTTGGTTGGTATCATGGTATCACAGTATAATCCACATTTTTGGAAACATGCCCATTTGTATTACAAACATTTACTATAAAGTAATTGTGTATATTGATTTTTAACACAAAATAAACTAGTTATTAAGAAAAAGTATCAAAAAAGTTTAAAACTAATTTAAATATACGTCTTATAAAGTAACACATAGTAAGCTTCGAGACAATCTGGCCGTGTAAGATAAGAAAGGAACTTTTGATCTTTCTTTTGTGTTTCCTGACTTTGCAGAGTTTTACTGTAAGTAGATTACAGTTTTCTCCCTTCAATCATTTATTGGAAAACTAAGAGGTCAAGAGAAAGTTGGACTTTCATGTTGTAAAATGTTAAATAGTTAATCCTATTGAGTTTTCTTGTAAAATATTTATTGATATTGTAGCGTAATATTGTTTCCAAATTTCAAAGCTTGTTTAGGTTAACAGTCATTGTCAAATTTGTCAATATTTTTTTAAAACTAATATCTCAAATTAAATCTGTTTATTTATTCAATGACAAAAATAGATGTAGTGCAAACTGCCCTTTTTCCTTCTTTTTTACGAAAAAGTATTCATTCTCCTACAAGCTTACAAAAGAACTTCCCTCCTCAGTTAAGGTTAAAGAAAAGCGATAAAAATACCTACAACCCTTTGAGCAATACATATACCGAAGGTGCAATACATTGTAAGCTGTGTTAAATTATCAGTTGTATTTATGGGTAATTTAATGAATTTATTCAAGTAAACTTGGATATGTTTAGTTCATTCACTCGAATGATGAAATACTAAAAATGATTACCTAACTATATGCACTACGACTTTTATAATTACTATTAAATTGAAAAGTAAAACAATATAAATATTCCTAAACTTTCAAGGATAAAAGGCTTAAACTCAGCTGCGGTATATTCATTAGATGATATACAAAGCCACAAAACCAAAGACAGATATAATTTCACACGTTTGCAGTGTTAGTCGAGTTGCTTTACTAAACCTCTGAATCAATAAAGCAGAGCGTGGCGTGCAAAACTACACTGCAGTGTTCACATCTGTTAAATTTGTTTAACATCATTGGGAAAAATTCTTACAAGATACTGTACTGTAAATATTTTATACAATTATGAGAAGCAAAAAAAACTTTTTATATTTGTTTAACATACATTCATAGTATTTCACGTAAAAAAATGTTTAACCAACTTTACATACATGATGAACGATAATATTTCAAATATAATGGTACATTTGTTTACTTATTACTAAAAATAGTAAATAAAGTCTGTAGATTTATTTAATCCGTATTTTTACTGCAATTATTGTTATTTCAAGACAAGTTGGAAAACTAAAAAATACTGGGTTTAGTTTTTTTTTATGTAATTAGTGTCATTCATCAGTGATATTTCTTTTGAGCCTTTAAAATATTTAAAATTGATATTCAGCTGCCTTCGAATTTCCAAAACTCAACCTATGACGATGAAATGTAAATCCTTACCTTTTAAGGTATGTTTTCATATAGCTCAATTAAAAAATAATAATTAAGAAGTTTATAGAGAAATTTTAAACTGAGGGCTGCTGTAGTCACCTTGGTGGAGCAGTTATTACACAAGGAATGTAATTGTAGTAGGCATTTGCGTTTTGACCTCAACGTCATTCGGGTCTTATTTGCTTGGATGCAAACTAGGTTTTAACCAAACAGGAACAACAATAAATTAGGTAATTTTTATTTAAATCGTTTAGTTAGAACCAAAATTATCCAGGATTTATTAACGGATCTAAAAGAAGTCTAGGGACCAATTATTGTTAAAATTTATTAAAGCTGTCAACTATAACTTCAGCTAGCAAATACAGTGCTGACCAGTTTTACCCTAATTCAGAAAGTTGCCGATCGATACAGAGAAACATCAGTAGCGTGTTGACTTTTCGAACCTGGACTCAACTATCCATCTTCATTACGCTTTCGAGAAATCTTCCTGGCTCAAGAAACAGCTGATCTTAGTGACAAAACTGTCATCTCCGCCATCCAACACTCATCGTTAACTTGTCTTTTCCTTAGAATACACATCATAGTGTGCTGGAACTTTAGTAATCTAAATAATAAAATCTAATAAATGCAGTTAGTGTAAAAATAGTCAAACTTTAAAATTCACAAAATTACCAAAGACTGAAGAACAACGGTTTGGAAAATAAACAATAGAAGCATAATTTAAAGCTGATAGGCCTAAAATTAGAAAACGCGATAATAATTAATATATTTAAGTAGGTATTTAATGTATGAAATAACCAGACTAAATAGAAGCCAGTTGTTTAAACAAACCTAACAAGGAAAGGAAATCCTTTTTTTAATTCATAAAAGAGTCAAGAAACATAATGTATCAGGATATGAATTTGTTGGTCTCTCAGAGAAATCAGAACATAGAAAAGTGCCATAACCTTCTTAAACCCTCATAAAACAGATTACTCATCAAGTAAAGAGTGAGTTTATCCACTATCCAGTCATAATTTCGAATATTTGGGTTTATTGAACTGTGTAGCATCGTAGAGTCAAATGTGATTACCTCTCGCCCTAACTCTGGTTTAATCCAAGTTTTCATCGCCCAAACTTGTTATTTACGAGTCAGATCGCGTGTGATGGCTCCCTAAAGAACTTCGAAGAGTTTGTCTTTGAAACAGCCAAGCTACTGTAAACATTTCAGGTACGGTCTAAAATCTTGTAGGAACCTTCTCTTGTTTGAGATTTCTCGTTTATTAAATACCGGTCATGAAAAATAGAACGTTGCACCTTAAAATTTACAGAAGCGTTTGATTATTCGATTCGACTTTCGATTATTGTTTTATTAAAAGCATTATTAAGACTACATTCTTTTATCACTTGGTTTTTACAAGATTATTCTTTTTAATTTTTCGAAGATTGATGTTAGAATATATTTCTTACAAGATACATGTTAATGTCAGGGCAAAGAGGTTTCTTCTTAACTTAAATTAAAAGCATTAAGTGCGTATGTTTTAAGACACTCAAACTCTTTGGTTAGGTATCTAAAATTGCTGGTTATACGCCGTGAAAGATCGATTATAAGTCTTTCCCCCTTAGAGTTCTCACAAGTACAATCTTTAATTCAATAACTACCACCATTGTTTGAGGAAAAGTGAAACAACGCCTTCTGAATTTTCTGGATATACCAAGAAACGGACCAACCCCTCTCACATAGGTTCCAAGATAATAATCACTTTCAAATAGCACAATCAATCGTCTTACTATAAATAAAGAATTGCATATAAGATATACCTAAAATAAAAGAAGTCAATGTTATGCCATAGTGATGCAAAAGGGCACCCCTCTCCTCACACATATTATTTGAAAATGTTGGTTTGTTTAAAATTCAGAATAATTAGCCCAAGATGACCAACACACACAAAAAAGGTACTTTGGGTTACAAATCCAATGGCAAAACAACCATGAATTTATATCAACCGAAGGGAACACATTTAATCCTCGTTAATAATTTAAAGCAAAAGGTTTACATGGAAGGCATAGTTTTCACCCCATAAGCTGACAGCAAAGTGTAAACTGGTAACAACACTAACAACGTTGAGTGTTGTTACCTGTCGAGTCAAATTTTGGTTACCCTCTGCAGACAATGTTGTTGCGTGACGTTAGAGTATTAACAGTAATCACCCGGGCGTTGTTTAGACCATGCAGTCACGGTACTAGGGGAAAACGGACGATTTGGGCAAACAACGTAACGCCTCCAATTAATAGACAACAGGTTCAGTTAGAGTGGCATTTCATAAAATATGCTAAATACCGAGGCAGTCCAACTTGCTAAAAACATCTTTTTGTTCCAAATTGATTAACCCTTAGGTCTTACTAGGTTCCAAGCCACTATATGTCTGGGTATTCGTGTGTGTGCCTATGTACAGCGACCCTCTAGAGGTTCCGTGCATATGATGACTGGCGCAACATTCAACCAATTAGAAAGGCAACCTATTGATAAAGCTTGACATAACCTAAATTTGTATTATAACTGCCTGATCCAACAATGGAATAGTATATTTCATTACTAGGACCGAAAGTGGCATTTTCCGGCACGCGCTCAAAACACAGGGAACCCCAATTTCACGTACGAGGCGAGGCCGAGTATGTGAGAGCTATTTTCACGTACGAGGTGAAGCCGAGGACGGAAATAATGGGGCAAGTGCCGGATAATAACTTTCGGTACGAGCTATGAACTATACTTTTCATCACGGCCTATTCACTTCCCTCAGTCTGTACAGGACTACTTGTTTGTCTGTTTGTGCGGCTGTCACCACTAAAATACTAAACCGATAG